GTATTCAGAGACAGAGCCTTTAAGGAGGTAATTAAGGTAAAATGAGGTCATATGGGTGAGCCTTAATCCAATAGGACTGGTATCCTTATAAGAAGAGATTAGGACACAGACACACAAGCTGAGGACACAGTGAGAAGGCAACTGTCCAAGAGTCAAGGAGAGAGGCCTCAGACAAACCAACCCTGCCGACACCCTGATCTTGGACTTCCAGCCTCCAGAACTGTGAGACAATACATTTCCATTGCTGAAGTACCCCCCGCCCCCCGCCTTCTGTGGTATTTTGTCATGGCAGCCTGAGCACACTAAGACAGGGAGCGTGTGGTACATAGCCAGAGGAAGGCACCAGTGACAGCTGCTGGGTCAGGGCGGAGGCCCAGGCTCAATCAAGGTACACACCCTCAGAGAGCTGGCTTAGTTCTCACTGGCAGTTGTGCCCACATAGCTGCCAATTCTGCTGAAGGCCTCTGTCTACATTCTTTTTTCGTTTTTTTTAAATTGGAACTTGTATGTTTTATTTATAAAAATGATAACAGAAACTTTCTTACTTTTTTTTTTTTTCTTTTTAGTATGCGGGCCTCTCACTGTTGTGGCCTCTCCCTTCGCAGAGCACAGGCTCCGGACGCGCAGGCTCAGCGGCCATGGCTCACGGGCCCAGCCGCTCCGCGGCATGCGGGATCTTCCCAGAACGGGGCACGAACCCGTGTCCCCTGCATCGGCAGGTGGACTCTCAACCACTGCGCCACCAGGGAAGCCCAACTTTCTTACTTTTTAAAGACTATTATTAAGTACGGTGCATTTAGTTTTCTTTAGAGAAATGCTATTTTTCAAGGATTTTGTTATTATAAAACTTGTTTTCTCTTCCCTTCTGTCTGCATACTGCCAACGCCTTAACACCTCAAGGGTTTCTATCAGCCACAGACCGGGGGGCAATGATGGCAGCCCCCAGGACAATCAGCTGTGCTGGGAGTGATGAGACTCCAACCACTGGTGAACAGAGGCAGGAGGGGCTGCTGCCCACCTCTGACTGGGCCCTCAGACAGCCCCTCCCATGAGCTAAAAGGCCTCAGAGACCCAACTAGGTTTATTTGGACCATGACTTGTTGAGTGCCTGCATACAGTAGGCATCAAGCTAGGTGATGCACAGATGAATGAACACTTGGGGCCTTGGAGGTGATCAGATAGTTAAACAAGTCATTTCCGCACAGTAAGTAGCCGTAATAATGGAAGCCTAGACCAGATACCAAAGCAGAAAAGGGTGAGTAATTAGCCCCATCGGGAATAGGAGGTCCAGTGAAGGCTTCAAAGAGATGGGATTATCAGCAGGATTGTCAAGACAGAACTGAACCTCATGAGTAAACAAGAGCCTGGGGAAAGCATGCCAGACAGTTACCAGCAAGGCGGAGAGGTTTAAGAATATACCGGGGATTCCGAGAACTAGAATTGTGGGTTAAAGCAGGAAATGGGACTGGTCAGGCAAGAAGGCACTAGAACACACATATGCTGGCTAAGGAGCTTGGCTGCCATCCTGTAAGGGACAGGAAAGTACTGGGGGCAGCAAGCTGGGGAAATTACAGGCAGACCTCAGAGATATTGTGGGTTCAGCTCCAGACCACTGCGATCAAATGAATATCGCAATAAAGTGAGTCACATGAAGTTTTTGGTTTCCCAGTGCATATAAAAGTTATGTCTACACTATACTGTAGCCTATTAATTGTTCAATAGCATTATGCTAAAAAACAATGCACACACCTTAATGAAAAAATACTCTGTTGCTAAAAAATGCTAACCATGGGACTTCCCTGGTGGCGTAGTGGTTAAGAATCTGCCTGCCAATGCAGGGGACATGGGTTCGGGCCCTGGTCTGGCAAGATCCCACATGCCACGGAGCAACTAAGCCCGTGCGCCACAACTACTGAGCCTGTGCTCTAGAGCCCGCGAGCCACAACTACTGAAGCCCACGTGCCACAACTACTGAAGCCCGCGCACGCCTAGAGCCCGTGCTCCGCAACAAGAGAAGCCACCGCAATGAGAAGCCCACACACCGCAATGAAGAGTAGCCCCCGCTCGCCGCAACTAGAGAAAGCCCACGTGCACCAACGAAGACCCAACACAGCCAAAAGTAAATAAATAAAATAAATAAATTTATTAAAAAAAAAAATGCTAACCATCGTCTGAGCCTTCAGTGAATCGTAATCTTTTTGCTAGTAGACGGTTTGAAATATTGCAAGAATTACCAAAATGTGACACCGAGACAGGAAGTGAGCAAATGCTGTTGGGAAAACGGGTGCTGAGAGACTTGTTTGATGCAGGGTTGCCACAAACCTTCGATAGTAAAAAACGCAGTATCTGTGAAATGCAGTAAAACAAGGTATGCCCATGCCAGGTCAGATTTGTGTTTTAGACGGACTGCTCAGAGAAGCGGGCATGGGGGACCTTGAGAAGAAAGTCAATGCCAAAATCCAAGCAAGAAATAAGAAAGGCCCATACGGAGGAGATGGAGCAGGCAGGCCGCCTCTGAAATCTCTCCTTTCCTCTAAGAGGCACTACTGTTTTTCCTAGCCAGGCTTGGAGGGTTATAGCCATTAGTTCTTAGAGATTTTAGCAAATATCACAGGAAGAGGATGAGATAGGAAACTGAGGCACTAGTGCACTTCGCAGAAAGCACAGTTTCCCTGGACCCCATCAGTTGTTTATTTTGTTTTTCTTAAACGAAGTAAAAATGAGCCACCGACTTCGCCAAGAAATGAATGGCCTTACTAGCAGGCTATCCAAGGTTAGTTTTATTGTCTACTTGGCCTATTTCCCAATCATCAAGCGCCGTCATCATTTCAAAACCTGATCTTGACGCAGAACTAGGCTGCTCTTCCCACTTTGATCCTTCAGGAGAGCTGGACAGCCTGTCATCAACTCTGATACTGTGGGAGGACTTAAAAGTGGCACCCATGACAATGATCAGGAGTGCAATTTAGAACCTTGAGCCTGGCTATTTCCAGAATGATCCATACCCTGTGCATATCAACCTCCAGTCCATTCCCTCATTGGCGATGGATTTAACCGCTCCCCTCACTAGAGGGTATCCTACTCTGAAGCTGAGACAATGTCACATTCATTTACATCCCTTTCCCCAAAGCACCTTACATGGTGGTGTTAGAGGGAAGATCAGAGAGACACTGCTGCTTGCTAGCTGTGTGACCTTGGACAAGTTACTTAACCTCTCTGAGGCTTTGCTTCCCCAGTAAATATGGGTAATAACAATAACTCCACCTTAAGGTTATATGATGAAATAATATATGTAAATGCTAAGGACCAGCATTCACACTCATTAAGGGCTTGTGAAGGAGGAAAAGGAGAGGGAGGAGGGGAGGAGGAGGAAAAAGGGAAGAAGAGGAGGGGAAGGAACTTTGGGGTCACTCCTCCGTTCAAATCTCTGCTCAACCACCTGCTTGGCTGTGTGACATAAGGCAAGTTCCTTAACCTCTCTGACTCACCGTTTTCTTCTCGTAAAATAGGGATAATATTGTCTACCTTGCAAAAAGGATCTTAGTTAGGATAACAGGTAAGAAAGAGCCTGAGGGGAGGGGGAAGGGTAAGCTGTGACAAAGTGGGAGAGTGGCATGGACATATATACACTACCAAATGTAAAATAGATAGCTAGTGGGAAGCAGCCACATAGCACAGGGAGATCAGCTCGGTGCTTTGTGACCACCTAGAGGGGTGGGATAAGGAGGGTGGGAGGGAGGGAGACGCAAGAGGGAAGAGATATGGGAACATATGTATATGTATAACTGATTCACTTTGTTATAAAGCAGAAACTAACACACCATTGTAAAGCAATTATACTCCAATAAGGATGTTAAAAAAAAAAAAGGAAGAGCCTGACACTTAGCTTGCCAACTCTAGGGTATTTAAGAAGTGGGCCTGAAATCACAGCCACTGATTTCTTGGTCCTGAACGGCACTTAGGGAAAAATCTGGTCTATTTTCTAATCTTCCTCGATCGCCCAGCTCTGCCACTCTGGATGGGTGAACACGCTAAAGCAAAGAGAGGCCAGTTTAGAGGGAGCCAGGCCTCCCATTGCACTCCCATCCACGGGAACAATGCTGTCCTTCACCACTTCCAAGGGGAGGCTGTTAAGCTCCCTGCAAGCCAACTGTGTTCTCTCTGGACAAAGGAGATGGGAGAGCCAGGCTTATCTTTCCCTGGACCCAAGCAATACCCCTGGCTCAACAGTATGGCTTGTGGGTAGAATTTCCATCTGCTAAGGAGACCCTAAAGCACTAGCCCCTGACAACTTAGGACCCTCCATAAAAGGCAAGTTATTTTAAGCCTCTCTTGGACCCAAGGTCTGAGCAAACGAAGCAAATGGCTTCGGGACAAGAAAGGTTTTTAAGGCCTCTCGTTCTGCCAGAAACACACTTAAAACCTAAAAAATTTAAAGCTCACAACCTCTCGCGGGTTCACTTTGTGCTGCTGGGCTTTGGTTTAGAGGAAGACAAAGCAAAACCCCAAACCCTCAAATCAATGGATCACGACAAATGCTTGCCCCCTTCCACCCTGTCCTGGGCAGTACAGGGACTGAATGCCAGTGGGGAGAAGCAGTCAACTCCACTCTCCTGCCAAAGATCAGGCAGACAGAGACCAGTGCTGAAATCTGTTTCTTTTTTTAACAAGGAATGGGGCAGGGAAGCTAGCCAAGGAGCAGGTTTGCCTGAGGTCCCCACCAAGCATCCATGAACAAAACCAGGGTACCACAGGCGCAAGAGAGGGGAGGCGCTGAGGGAAGCAGGGCAGGCTAGTCCCGGAAAGCACCCCAAAATTGAGGGTGCAGGATTAGGACCCCACAGGATTAGTCTCCCAGTAGTTTCTGTGTCAGAACTTGGGAGTCAAACGTGGGGTCAGGCATTCAGGTACATGCATCTACCAACAGAGCACCAAGCCCACAACTCGCCCCCTGAAGCAGAAAAGCTGCACCCCTCCCCCAGCCCACCCTACCATCTTACTTCTGCTGGGCAGATCCTCTTGGCCCAGGCCATTGGAGGGAGCCAGTAGGGTGCTGCCACCCTCATCCAAGGTCAGGATGAGGGGAACGTCGTCATCTAAACTCACGGCCATGTTCTCCTCTCCTACAGCCCTCAGGATGTGATGTCCAGAGCTTTAAGTAGTCTCTGCTTTGAGCTCCAGTTCAAAGCCACTGGCCCAGAGGTGCTTCTTAGAAACTCCTCCATCAGTGGCATCTTCTGGGGTTTGGGGGGTTAAAAAAAAAAAAAAAAAAAAAAAAAAGGACAATTATCAAAATACAACCACTACTGATGAAAATGTTCTGGAATTAGATAGTGGTGATGGGTACATAACCTTACAAATATACTAAAAACCCCAAAATGGTACCTTTTAAGATGTAAGATGATGGATCTTATAGTAATGTGAATTATATTTCAATAAAGAAGAGTATTGCAATATAATAGCACTAAAATTCTGTGCAAGATTAAATACTGAAAAGTTAAGGGTAATTATGTTTGGAGATTGGGATATGGCTAATATGTTCCCCCTCTACCCTTCTTAACCCTTGTTTGTGTGTGAATTTCAGAGGTTTTAAAGACTTAAAAAATATATATACATATACAACCATTCAAATAATAGTAGTTAATACTCAGCGCTTACTATATGTTGGGGCTCTTCTAGCAATTTTTAAGTAAAGCTGATTGAAACTTCGTAATAGATAAGTAGGATTATTATCCCCCATTACAGAGAGGGGGGACTTAAGGCTTAACTTAGAGAAGTTAAGTAATTTACTTGTCCAAGAACCCACAGCTGGAAAGCCAAGCTTTGAACTACACAATCTGACTCCAGACCTGTGCTCCCCGCCAGCATACTACAATTCCTCCATGTCCCAGCCCTGGTATTTAGGCAGCACTTAGCTCCAATGACCTATAAAGAGTTAGTGTGCCAGGTCATCTAGATTTGCCTATATCACTCTTATTATCCTCCTAGATTTAGGTATTTGGGGAGGAAGGGGAAGAGACTAGAATATTTTTTTAAGTGATGTCGGGAGTCACACAGCAAAAATGCTCGTTCTGAACTCCCAATTCAAAATGGTCAGAACTAGCCTGTTACAGTTTCTATTTATAAACATTCCCATTTCCGCTGAGGAGGACCAAAAGAAAAGCAAACACTCAGCAGATCTAACAGCAGACCTTTGAACTTAAAAACAGCAGCAGGTTCCTTCCTCAAACTGCTGTATTCTGGTCTCGATCAAGTTTGCCTCCAAACTAACCCACTGAATGGCAACCCATCAATCTACTTCCTTCACGAATCAGCAGGACAATCCAGGGCAGGCCCCTGTGCGTCAATATCTTCTTAAAATTAGGCAGTAAAAGTGAGCACCATTCTTTGCTGCTAAGCCTGTAGCTGTCTGCAAAGTAAACTTCCTGTGAGATTTTTTTTTTTAAGTTTCCTCCAGATCTGGGGATTAATTTCACTTTTAAATCTCAGTAGTGGGAAGACAGAAAAGGAAATTCCAAATGAGATGTTATGATTTGGCTGTCTTAAGCATTATATATTTTATTCTTTTTCTTTTTGGCTTAACTTTTTATCACAGCTATTTTCAAACACACTCAAACGTAGAGAGAATATATAAATGAGCTTCCTTGTGTTGATCACTCAGCTTTGACAATTATTAACATCTTGTCATTCTCTCCCGTATTTATTTTGAAGGCTGGAGAGTCTATTAACTTTCTCAACTCATCAAGAAGAGCTTTTTAAATTGTATCATTGTTATCAAAATAGCTACTGGTTTTTACTTTAACTGTATAATATATGACTGGTTGCTTGTAATGCATGCATTATTTCTGTGGCTCTCAGCCGGGGTGATTCCCCTGCCACACACACACATTAGCAATGTATGGAGACATTTCTGATTATCACAAGTAGGAGGTAATAGTAGGTAGAGGCCAGGGATGCCTGGAAACATCCTACCATACACAGGTGAGACCCACCACAACATAGAAATATGTGGCTCAAAATGTGAATAGTACTGCTGTTAGGAAATCTTACTTAGCTAATGTCCCCACTTCACAGATGAGGAAACTGAGGCTTAGCAGGGTTAACTTAACCTGCTTCTTGTAAATAAACAGCAAGGAAGTGATAGAGTCCAAATTTCAACCCAGGCAGTCTGAATTCAGGGACCCTCCCCACTTAACCATTACCCTTCATCTCTGCCCAGACGGTCCCCTCATCTGAATTCAAACCCATTATTTTACAGAGAGGGAAAAGTGAGGCCCAGAGGAGAGAAGGGACTTGCCCAGGGTCACAGTGCTTCTCCCTCTGTTGAGGAACCAGAAGGGAAGGGTCACCCCTAGGGACAGGTCCTAGGGAAA